GTCAATATACGGCACTGTAGATTGTCGTGGAACTTCAGGTTAGCGGCAGTTTACGGCAATTTGCACGCTTCGCCGAAAACTCCCGTAAATTGTCAGAAATTGACGTGGAATTTCTTAGGCAGTGTTCCCCCCATGCCTCCCCCCCATGGAATTCTAGGGGAGGCTTTAACATGTAAATGAACATGCTGTGAGCTATACAAATGCAAACCAGGGTTGCAGGGGGGGTTTTACCCCCCCTGCAACCCTGGTTAAGAAAATCTCTGATATAAAGAGATCAGGTATAGCCTCTTACATTTGAGCTTGAATTGATTTATTTAATTAAAGTATAGAGACCAAAACAGATCTTTAGCTGACAGAGCAATACATTTAGAGCAGTAATTATTTTTTTTTAAATTTGCATTTAAGATAAAAAATAAAATGTTGTCTGTCAATATGCTCAATTCACAATTACTTAAGTGGAAAAGTTTCAAGAAATGATTCTGAGATGATTCACTTTATAACATGGCGCATTATCCTGTTGGAAGTAGCCATCAGAAGATTGGTACACTGTGGTCATAAGGACATAGGTCAGCATGCTAAATTGGTTTTAAGTGGCCCAAAGTGTGGCAATAAATATCCCCCAAATAGATGGTAGAAATAGATCAGGCTCAGTATAGCCTAATTATAGACTCTTACATTTTAGCTTGAATTGATTTATTTAATTAAAGTACGCTAGATTACTGTGTATGCAAATGTTATGTAAAAAAAAATACACAAAATAATTTACTTCAAAAATTAGTTTTAATCAGAATCAGTTGGCTGTAATGGTTAATTTTTTTTTTTAGATTTCCACTTTTTTTTGTTTTGTTATTGAATATATAAGAAAACAATAACAATCTCAAATTACAAGTCAATAACAAATATTTAAATACAAGAAGAAATATCACAACTCCTGCTTTTGAAAAATAAAATTAAATACACAGGCTGGAACAAAGTATAAAATAAAATAAAATAAATAAAAATAAATAAAATAATAATAGTAGTTAAAGTAAATTAATCAGTGGGGACTACCAACTGAAATTCTTCAATTAACTCAAACAATTTAATTGCATTTAAATTCTGCATCTTTCTCAGACATCTTTTGAAAAGGGAAAGTTCATTTTTGAGAGCAGAGATTGAGAGGGAGCATTTTGCATAGCGACATTTATAGATATAATACTTTGTTACAATTATTAGAATATTGATTAAAAATTCCAATTTTTTTTTCTTTAATGGATAAACCGAATTGAATGTTTTGCCAGGAAATAAAATCTAAATTTATTGTTTTAGAAGACAGAAAGGTTCGAAGTTGATCCCATAAGTTTAATACTTCTTTACATTCATAAAAAAGATGTTTAGTTGTTTCCAATTGAGTTGTACAAAAGCCACAATTCCCAACATTAAACTTAAATCTCTCTCTTAAAAACTCATTTGAAGGATATATGTTATTTATTATTTTAAATTGTAATTCTTTATATTTAGGAGGAATTGGGAATTTCAAATAATTTGTCCTAATTTTGACTATCATAGATTTCTTAAAATTTTGTAAGAGAGCTGTGCTTTTTGTTCTTCCTGGGTACATATTATTGATAGAATATTGATTCAAAAACTTGTTGTTGCATTTATTATCTCTAATGTCCACCTGCTCAAATTCAATCTTATGGAGACAAACAATTGCAATTGCAAACAATTTATAGGTGCATTACCGCCACCTTCCAGAATGGAGCGACGCGAGCTCTTCTCGCGAGTCCTTCCGTATAACAATGACGTCGTATGTGATTGGAGGAGCCTGATGAGCCTTCGGCCCCATCGTCCAATCACGTGTGAGCTTTTGTGCACTACGACTTCTCGCGAGGCCAGCATATTAGCAGACATGTTTGTGTTACTATAGAACTTAATCTCCAGTTACCGTGTTTGTATTTTGTTGTTACGTGAACAATGGCTGCACGACGTCTCGCGTTCAACTCGCCTCCAACTGCTCTTAGTCCACAACTTTCGGCCAGCCCGCAGACTGACGAGAAGAAACTGCTGATTGCTATCAGCGGACTGTCTCGTCAGCTTACCCAGCATACTGCCGACATGAATGAGCGCCTCACTCTGCTGGAGAATTCGATGCACTCCAGGTTGTAGTCCATAGAGGACAAGATGGCGGCTCTGCAGTCGAGCAACTTTCCGGGATATACGAACTCGAGGAAGAGAAGACGGGTGCACAACGCCACGCTAGCGGTAAATATATGTTCGATTACTGGTAGCTATGCTAAAAGCAGCCTAGCTTAGCTAGGCAAGCTAAAGACAACCTAGCCTAGCTAGGTAAGCTAAAAGCAGCCTAGCCTAAAGCTTTATTAAAGTGTATTTTTTGTGATTCACAGGATGCAGTATGCCGTCTTAACAACTCGGAGACTAATTGCAGGCGCTATGAACCGGAGCAGGGGTAAGGTTTAAAGAATATGCTTTCATTCTGCGGTAAAAGGACATGGATACCGACCATAGCTGTACTTTTTTTTTTTTTCACAGACTACAGTCGCCTCACAATGAGGCGGTGACCTCCTATTTGCTCGGATTTGCACGATGTTGATAAAGACGACATTGTGTGTAAGTGACTCGTTTTAATGTTTTCTCCTTCCTTGTTACTGTGACTTGCGTTTGATTTTTTTTTTTTTATTCATACCACTCTCATTTAATTGTTTTCCAGCTGCCTGTAAGACGTATTATGAGACGGTATGCAGGAGCTTCAGATACACGCTGCTAGCCAGCACGCTGCGTGCGGAGGCGGCCAGGCTATCTGCTCGGAGTCGGGCCAGAAGAAAGAGGGTAAGACTTTATTTGGTGACTATTTTTCAGGTGCATTAATAGATGTGTTGTGTCCATACGCAGTGCGCTGATTCATTGTTTTTTTTCAGCTGCTGAAGGCGAGGCAGAGTGTGCTATCAGATGAGGAAGTGGAACTCTGTAAGTCCGCCACCGTCGACCTCATGTCCGACGAAGAAGATGGCGTCGTCGGCGGTGTCTCTGGATGGATTGTACGGTCTCCGCCATTTCGTAGGCCGGATCTCACTGAACTCTGTGTTAAGCTGCAGTCCCGGTTAGAAGCGATGCCGAAGTACAGGGCCACGCACAGTAGGCGTCTGCACATCGGACCTGCCTCGGAGGGAATGCTGCCTGTTACCTCCAACCCCGAGGAAGCAAACGGACCGTTCACGGAGTTGTAATTTTTAGATACGCATGTGTTTGGATATGCGTTGTATATAGTTGTGTGTGTTTTAATAAAGCTCTTTCTTTGCATAAACAGCTTCCTGGCAAATCTTCATTTCCTGTATAAATTCATTCATGTCCTTGATGGTAGCATAATAATTGTGTAGTAGTGTAGGATAACATAAATACACAGCATATGAATGAATAAATATACGAATGAATAAATATATAAATGAATGAATAAATATATATATATATATATATATATATATATGAATAAATATATATATGTAAATATATATATATGCCAACCAATCACGAGCGACTTTACTTGTTTAAAAAGAAGTGGTTCCGTCCAATACTCAGTAAGAAAATTAAAGCCTGGCGTGGCCACGTGTGGGTTTGCTGCCAATCACGAGCGATTTCATTTGTTTGAGAATAGTGGTTTCAGCCAATACTGAGTAGGTTATTCAAGCCAGACCTGGCCAGCCGCGCGGGTTTGCTGTATTCATATGCTAATTAGGGCCATTAGTACAGCTGATCGCTCTCCACATACGTCACGGTACGTTTCCGACAATTTGTGGCACGACAAACGCGGACAAGCACGGCTTGCAAATTGTCGGAAACTGACGAAAATCAGGCAGATCTGCGGGAGTTTACGGGGGTTTACGGGGACGAAAATCTCACTTTTCATGCAGTGACGCTTGCTACATGTGACGTCATCGCGTCCTCGAGTGCGCATGCGGGACACTTCGGTTGAACGCTTTCAGTTCACACAGTAGATCACATACAAGTCACATATACTTGGAAGTGTGAACGGACACGCAAAAAAATCCGATTTCACAAAAAAATCGGAATTGAGCATTAAGGCCTGCAGTGTGAACGTAGCCTTATTTAGATTTAAAATTTTCTTTGTTAGGAATTTTTTATTATTACTTATTAATGATAACAATTAATGATTATTATCATAATTATTACTTGATTTTAAAGTATTAGACTTAGACTTAGACTTCTTTATTTGTCATTTTGTATGCACAGGGTGCATACAGAACGAAATTGCGTTACATACAGCTTATGAACGTTGCATTGATATTTCAAATGGCACGAGTTATAGAAAAATACAAAAAAGTGCAGCAGTGGTCAAAGTGTGAACAGTGCAGAGGATAAGAGACAGTGTGCAAGTTGCAGTGGTTCAGTGCAAAATGGCATTTGTGCAAAAAATGCGTTATTGAAAAATACAATGAGATGAACAATTTAAAGGGCTAAAAGTTAAAAGTTCAGCAGCATTTGATGCCCGATAATGTGCAATAGGTGCAGAGTTCGGATTGTGGATCAAAGGTTCAACAGTCTGATGGCAGTGGGGAAGAAGCTGTTGCACAACCTGGTGGATCTGCAGCGGATGCTGCGGAACCTCTTTCCAGAGGGCAGCAGGGAGAACAGTCCATGGTGGGGGTGTGAGGGGTCTTTGATGATATTACGGGCTCGGGACACACAGCGCTGTGATGAAATGTCCTTAATGGAGGGAAGAGGAGCCCCAATGATTCCTTCCGCTGTCCTCACCACCCTCCTCACATTCTTCTATTAGATGTACCTTGGTAATGTTAAAATTTGGCTTTACCAGAATGGCAGTATAAATTAATGAATAACAAGAATGACTGTTAAAAGGTTCAGAGAGCCTTTACCTTTAGGGGTTCGTTTAGAGGGCTTGCTCGTTCTTGCATGAAGATATGTACAAGAACAGGTTAATGCTGTGAGGCAAAAATGAACAGGGTGTTACTCTATTTTCCCAGGTCGTCTACTTTACAGCCAGTTTTCCCTACTTGATGTTGGTTGCCTTGCTGATTCGAGGTCTAACCCTGCCTGGGGCTGCAGAAGGGGTTTGGTTTTATCTTTCTCCTGATGCAGCACGTCTGGCAGATCCCCAGGTAAGCTCTATGTGCGCGTTTGTAAACTTTAGTTTTCCTTGGGATTAGAGGAAAATTTGTTTAGCTTACATTGCATTGCTAGTATTGTTTTAAATTGGATTGGATTAGTTGGAGTAGTTGTCTAAACTGTATAAACTGCCCCCCCATCACATGCTGATGTGCCACATCGATGCCAATCTATGTACCTGTGTTAATGTGCTCAAGTAAACCACATCTACTTTTCGTGCTACCATTAGTTCTCTCCTTTTTCTTTTTATACTAACATTTATCCTGCAAGTTTCAGATTAATTTATTTAAAAAAAAGCCAAAATAAATCATGTAATTCTACCACAAAAAAAATCCAACATTATAAATAAAATAAAACACATTTAAGGTTGTGATTATTTTAATGGTGGGCAGAGACACATTTTTTAAATCTATATTAATCTCACTGTAATCTTGGAATTAATCTGGATTAATCTAGATCAAAATCGCTCATTTCAATTCTGCCAAAGAAATTCATGATATGTTTGTGCTACCTAATTAATAACCAGTTCAATAGATTTTCCCTGAAGCAAACCCGGCGTCTTTACACCTGGATTAATGCTTAACATGTTCTCAGACGCAGGCGAAGTTCAGGGTCAGACATCGTTAATGATCACACAGATCCCTTCACATTCAAAAAAGTTCATCAACAAACATCCTTCTTTGCCACAATCCTATTCCAAAATCAACAACCTTGCTTTCTGTAGTATCAATTGTTTCTCTGCAGCCCAGCTGTGCTTTCATTGATAAACTCAATCAGCTAATTTTACTCACAGCCCGCTGGCTGCTTTCTTTGTTCGTCTGTGAGTGATCGGCTGGATCCCCTAACCTTCAGCTTTTCTTCAAGTCATTGGTTAAGTTTTTTTGCTTTTTACGGCATACTCTTGTAACCTAATAAATTCCCCAAAAAATAAAAAAAATAAAATGGAAGAATAGTTTTTAGGAGGAGCTTTTTGACTTACCCAAAAATAAAAAGCACCAGCAGAGAGTTTCCTGGTTTCTGAAGGTGTTTTCTTTACCTATGAAAATAACAGAAATAATCTACAAGTTGATTTACAAAAATTTTAAATATAAACATTAATTGGTGGCAGGAAAACCGCTACACTCCTCACTCACAAAACAATCAACCACAACAGCTGCTTCTGCTAGTTAATCAAAGCAGGAGGCAGCCTGACAAGGAGGAGGGTCAAATAAGATAAATAATAAATAAATAATAAGGGGCTCCAGCAGCAGTTAAAGTCGTAGGAAATTCATATTTAAATTTGAAATCACTCTAGCTTAAACATGTATATAAATGTACTCTTTATCAGAGTTATAGTTTATACGTACAGTTATACGTCAGCCTGAACACCTAAATTCGGCCAATCATACATCAACGGTCATCTGTCAATCTAATGTTTTCGGTCATAGCATATTGATTCATATGTTGCAGCTAATATACGCAACGGTTGAAATCAGAATCCTTTCCTTTCCCATTGAGTTGCGTCCCAGTGTTCACGGGGATGGACGTCTGTGTCTTCGGCAGGCGTAGAGCTAACAGAACTGGCAGCGTTGCGAGGCAAGGGCTCAAACATGTACGGCTGGAAGCCTTCTACACCAAACCAAGCTTCTGCCGCCCTGGCGTCCTCTTCCACAACATCTTCGTCCCCGCTTTCCTCCTCTAAATAAAAAATGGATGACGGAGGAGACTCATCCACGACCTCCGACACTAAACTCTCCTCCTCTTGCATGTTTCCTCTGTCCATAGCGTTCCTTGACAGCGTCGTTTCTAAGGCACCAATTTAGTGCTACTTGGTCCCAATGGAATTTCCCATTGGGAACCTGCTAGCACTAAGGTGCTAACTGGTTAGCAAGATGCTTCCAACAAACCGGCCACAACCAAACCTGCTTGCGAACCTTCCGCCACAACAATACCGCCCCCTTGATCATCAACCAATCACATTCACTTTATTAATTTGTGTAAAGTCGGTCATCAGTCGGGAGAATTCGGGAATGCAACAGTTGGAACAGCCGCTTCCCTACGACTTTAACGTTCAATGTGGTCATTTCTAGTATGGCTACACAGGTTGGAAGACTGATTCGTTCTTCATCCGCCCTAAAATATCAAGGTGAAAGTCATCATTAGTATAACCCCAGCTCGCAACCCAACTGTGAGAATAGAATAAAGGCCATATCTTTTTATCGCTAAGAGTCTTGCATTAACACAGCCATTAATGCCGATAACGGTCAGACACTAGATTATACATTCAGACCCCATCTACAGGAAGGGAAAACACAGATATTCCCTGCGGTTTTGCCTCTCCTTTACACCAAAACCCCGTTTTTATCACAGAAAACGATTATTTCTAATACCTCCGGCCAAAGTGGAGATTTCTCATGACGCGGGTTATGTGCTGCCATGTCAACAGGGATAAACAGCATTTTAGCGTCTCAAACATCACATTATGCGCCAGAAAATCAATAACGTCATTTGAGCGCCTGATGTTTACAGTTTATTATGCCGCTAGACAGCGGATTTATGCGGGTTGATGTAAAAGTTTTTTTGAAAACAATGTTGTGTGCACAGCGTTATTATTGAAAACACAGGGGAGAAATATTTGTTTCTCTGTAAATGTGGTCTGATTACTGTCTATGGTTGAAACTCCAGACAACTCAAATAAAAAACACACATTCTCTATTATACTAATTGCAATGTGTATTCAGCAGTAATGAGGCTAACAATGATAAGCAGCTTGAACAGAGTCGCTCTGTGACATCGTCATATTGGTGCTTAGGTAGATATTATCATTGAGGTATAAATGATAACTGGTCATCTTACTGTTCCAAGGTGTGGATGGATGCTGGAAGCGAGATCTTGTTCTCCTATGCCGTCTGCGTCGGTTTTTTGCCGGCTTTGGGAAGCTACAACAAATTCAACAACAACTGCTACAGGTAAGAAGATTAAACAATTTAGATATACTGTAGTTGATTTAAATGAAAAGGACTTTTCCCTTATTGTCATGATGTTCTAGAAGATCTGACCCACATGCAGGAAACCACTCAGAGAACCAGGGTAAAAGTTTAACAGGTTTATTGAAGTAATCAATAAGGTTGATCCAGGGTAACTCAGAGAGCTGGTGAACCGGAACTGGAAGTGAGAAGGGAAGTTCACAGGTTAGTTCAGGGTCCGTGGGAACTTAAACACAAAAATCAGAGATGAACGGGACTCACGTTAGCAGAAAAAGGTTCTCTTCCCGGAATCCAGTCGGTGTGGGTTTTTCCAGGGATTGGGGGGCTCGTTGGAGGGTGGACAGGTTTTTGGTTTGGTTGGTTCCTTGAGGAGCAATGGAGCGGACTGCCACTAAGATTTCCAGGAAAACTTGAACGGGTCGTGTGGAGATGAATCCCCTGCTCAGTGTGAAGCTCAAAACAATCCTTCCAGGGGGAGAAGGCCAAAAACTCCAGTTTGCAGGATGACTTCCTGCCAAAAAGGTAAAGACAAAAACAAGGTTAGAACTCGGAGAGACAGACTCGGATAGTCTCAGCTAAACTCAGCTTGGCTAGACTACCCAACACTGGCAAACACTCTGGCGACGAGGTAGTGGCAGTCCACCGCTTAAGAGTCCTCAGTAATGAGCACAACCAGCCGCAGGTGTGTGGGGGGACCAACGAGAACAGGGTGCCACCTGGTGGTGGAGGGAGAGAACAGAAAAACAAACACAGGCCACACACGCTGGATTCCTAACACTTTAGAGTAAAATAAAGCATTGTTTGCATTTTAATTTACAAGACTCTGGGAAAAAAATATTCTTGTAATATTACGACTTTATTCTCATAATTTTACGACTTTATTTTCAAATTATTTTTTTTTTAATCTGTAGCCTGGCCCTAATACTCCATCGTACACTTTGGCCCCTGTATGACAACCCCTCTGAAAATTTTCTGGAACCGTCACTGGTTAGGCACCAGGCTAATGTGGCCACCTCTGGAAATCCTTTAGGAAGCCCTTGGCCACCCCAGAAATAATTTCCTAGAACCACCACTGCTGGGGGAGTCACCAAAAATAATTTCATGCTTGATCCAGGACAAAGGAAAACTGCTTTTTTTCCTCCAATTTTTGTTTTATTTTTTAAAAGAAGCCATATTCTTGTTTTGTGGTTGCTGTAGTGGCAACACTTATGTTTTCTTAAAAAAAGAACCTTCGAAATCTACCTCCAAGTATTGAAAAGAAATTTAATGTAGACACTGTTTATATGAACCATTCCCCTTATATAAAGCTTAGTTTACAATATCAGTACAAAACAGCAATCATTTTGATAGTAATTGAGATTTCATCTATTTCTTAGATTTTGTCAGGAAAAAGGTGTTTGTTGAGGAGGACCCAAATGCAGAGACGAGTTGGCAGAGGTGAATTTAAGTGGTTTAAATAAGGTTCTCAGGCACTGAGGCAAGAATCAAAAATCCAACAAAATAACTAACGAACCAGAACCAAGGTGACATCAGGGGAAAATCAAAATCTAGGAACCAGGTAGAGACGAGGAAGGCAGACAGACGATGACGAAAGGTTAGACGAGGATCCAGCAAACAGGAACTGAAGAGGAAGGGCTTTTAAAGGGGACAGTGACAGGGAGAGGGCTAATGAGGAAATTGAAAACAGGTGAGGGCTGAACAGAGAACAGAGCAAGAGAAAGAGGACACAAGAGGGCAGCAGAGGACAACAAATGGAAAACCTTGAAGACAGGAACTAAAAAGAAAACAACAACAAAATAATAATCAAATAACTAGGATAAAGAAACATGGTGAAAAGAAAACTAAACACTAGAAATCAAGGAGCAAAAGAAAAACATAACAGAAACAGAAACCTAACAGATTTCTTCCCCCTATTGCAAATAAATAATCCCCAAATTTCATATAATGTCCCACTTTTTTTTAATGTAACTTAAAGTCTGATGTTCTAAAGAAAAAGAAAAGATGTAAAGCAGGAATTACTGCATAATTTTCTGCTTTTGTTTGAATCTTCAGAGACGCCTTCGCTTTGTGCACGCTGAACAGTCTAACCAGTTTTGTTGCTGGTTTTGCTGTCTTCTCTGTCCTTGGCTTCATGTCACATGAGCAGGGTGTTGAAATCTCAGCTGTGGCCGACTCAGGTATGAATCTGAACTACAATCAATGTTTTTGTGACGTGTTCGTCAAATAAATACACTAGGGATGCACGATATTGGGATTTTGGCCGATATCCGATGTGCCGATATTTTAAAACTCATGTAGCCGATAATGGATATCGATACCGATGTTAAAGCTGGACAAAAATAAGTAGTCATTGAAAATAGCAGTTTTGTTATCCATTTCTGACACTTTGAAAAATAATATACTCAAATATATTTTCATATGCTGATATCAAATTGATTTTTAAAAACGCGGTATCGATCTATTTTACTGTCAAAATTTCATCGTTCTGTTACAAACTCTCGTGATATTTTGCAAATTCTTGTGAGATTTTGTTAGTAAAATAGATCGATACCGCGTCAATATATCAACATATAAAAATATGGCAAAATTTCGTGAATTTTCGGGGGATTTCGTAGCATAACGATGACATATAGCATATGAAGATATTGGGATATTTTAATGGATCAATATTTTTTCCCTTGTCTTTAGAAGTTTTTAAGTCTGTAAAAAAGAAGTTTTTGAGGAAGAAGTAGTAGTATTTTTTTTTTTTTTTTTTTTTTAGACTTTAGAAACTCAGAAGCTGATCAAATATCGGGTTAAATATCGGTGGGGTGGCCGATGTCCGATATTCAGTTTTAAGGCCGATACCGATAGGGGGCCGATTATATCGTGCATCCCTAAAATACACCCTAAGAGCTGAAAGAGGGTCAATAACTTATTCAATTGTTTAAAATGACCAAACGTGCATCTCGTCACACGATATCAAACATGAAATTTAATCAGCCAAACATGTTTCTTGTTTTTGTTAAACACTTCCAGGTCCTGGCCTTGCATTCATCGCCTATCCTCGAGCGGTAGCCATGATGCCTTTACCTCAGCTATGGGCTGTTTTCTTCTTTCTCATGATCATCTTTCTGGGTTTGGACAGTCAGGTAAATGTATTAGGAAGGAAAAAGTGATGTCACAAGGAAGAAACTGTAATATCACCTGTTTTATAAAAACTTTATAAACTTTTCTAAGTTTTTAAACTGATCAGCATCAAATTTTCTGTGATTTTCTGAGTTCCCTAAATGTTTACTAGAATAAATATATTCCTAACGAGAAACGCTCATTTAAATTTAGCAAAGCTCATACCCAACACGGATAAACTGACATCCCTGCAAAGAAAATATTGCTTGATTATCTTCATTTATAAGAAAGCTTGGAGAAATGCCACTGTACAGTGATAGAGATTATAAATGTTTTAAAGGAAAAGTTCGGTCAGCGAGGAATAATCAATGGATCATTCTTTATACCTAAAACTAATACGTTCGCAGTGATTTAATTAATTTAGCCTTAATCAGTAAAAAAATAAAACTTATAATTTTCTTTGCGATCACTGAGTCTGGGAGCGGCCATTTTTGCCCAAGTATAGTAACCCCTCCCTCCTGCCATCTTCCAGCAGTGACGTCACAGTGCGGTAAGCCTAGCGCCATTCTCCCCGCTTTACAAGCTAAATCAATGGGAACTACTAGACACATCTGCAATCAACAACAATTATTGAAGATTTCCAGAGGACTTCACCATTGAAATTCACCAGAGCTATAGTGAAACTGACAATGCCCACGTGCATGGCAGCTGGATGCTGGAATACATCGGGTAAAAGTAAAAAAAAAGAGTTATTCCCCCTTTCTGATTCCTGATCCTCCACGGACGGGTTGGTCGTTGGATCGCCAACTTGAAGAGGGAGGATTTGCCATCGAACTTCTGGCCAGAGAAAAAACCCGTAATATGTAGCCAACATTTGGAAGAAGAATGTTTTCAAGATGACTTGGATAATAGCGCGTTGTGACAAACACCAGATACAGCACTGGGACTTGATCAACAGCCGATACCGCACCGTGACGTCACTAACCAGTAGGTGGCAGTAGTGTTCTTTGACAAACATGGATGCCTCCAGTAAAGCACATTCACATGAAAATTACTCTGAATTAAAAACACTGATCATTCATTGAACAGGATGGAATCATTTCACATTTAAAGAACTTTCAGAAGTTAGAATTCTGAATATGAGCGAACTTTTCTTTTAATATAAAGAAAGCAAGTTTTTAATGCCTAGGATTGTTTCAAATAATGTTCAGTGTTGGGCGCGTTACTTTGAAAAAATAATTAGTTACAGTTACTAGTTACTTCTCCCAAAAAGTAACAGAGTTATTAACTGAGTTACTCCACAATAAAAGTAACTAGTTACTAGTAAAAGTAACTAATGAGTTACTTTTGCGTTTCTCTACCCCGTAGCCCTCACCACCCAGCCCCCACCTTCTCGCCGTGTATTTCTATAGCCAGCTGAATAGAGCGGACGACAAAGACAAGAACCTGCAGAGAGTTTAGCATTTATTGCAACTCAATGTAAATGAAATCAGGGGCTATCTGACGGGCCTATAAACCCTGACAGATAGCGCTCCCCCTGCTTAACATGCGGGGAACGCTATCTGATGCGGTGCAAATTTCATCAGGCTGCATTACCTCTACTCATGGGTTTGAAGTTTTTTAACAGGGCGTTCAGATCTAACCTGACTCCACCAGATGGATTTGCTCCACATATCCATCTGGAAACCTTCCGTTGAAGTAATTTTGGGAAGGGGCGAAAATACTGGTTAGCTGATTGGTCTATGTTGGTGATAGACGGGCCAAATAAACCAATCAGATCAACGGAGCATATGACGTACTAACAGAGTGACGACGAAAACACAACCACAAGCCAGGCTACTCTTGCCGAAACCAGTCGGGAAAAGAGCAAAAACATCTTTTCCTCTGAGAAAAGCCTCCAGAGCAGTGTTTTGCTCTTCTTTCAGTGAAGAAATACTCTGTAATTCCGATAAAACTTGCTCGATAGCCACGCTAACGCTAGTTTGATCGGCTAAAGCCGCCATGTTCTTTAGACTGAACTGTCGCGCTTCTCGTTGCGTCACACCTCAACCCGCCTCAAAGCCAACGCTGATTGGACGTTCGTTTGGTGAACGGCTCCAAATTTTCTTCAACGGAGAGTCTCCAGACTGATCTGAGAGTGAAACCTTGAAAGCTCGCGAGATCAGGATGGTCTCACGAGGCTAGTTCAGATCTGGTGAGTGAATGAAGTTAATAACTGGGGATGTCTAATTCTGAAATCCTGTGTGTTTGGGTTGTTATAGATACTGCAACATCCATCCATCCAGATTTTTTCATTTTTCCATGTAGGCTAACATTTGATCGTTCACGCTCACCGTAGTTCCCCTGTGGCGCGAGCACAGACGTAATCAGCCAATCACATCCTCCCCTCTCTCATTACAAGGCGCGCACGAAACCTATCATGAAAAAAAGGTTAATTGTGCGACCTGAGTAACGTGCAGTAACGGGGTGTCTGCAATGGCAACTGCGTTATAGTTACAGTCAAAGTAATTAGTTGGATTACTCGTTACTAAAAAAGGTAACGGCGTTAGTAACGATCCCGACTATTGCAAGAGCTGAGTGCAACCTTTTCTAGTCAGGATAGCTTTTATTTGCTTCTTTTTCTATGTCTGCTTCTGTCTCCTTGAACCCCAGTCGGCCTCAGCAGATGGCCGCTCACACTGAGCCTGGTTCTGCTGGAGGTTTCTTCCTGTTCAAAGGGAGTTTTTCCTCTCCACTGTCGCTACAAGCATGCTTAGTGTGAGGGATTGCTTAAGAGTCAATGAGTCGATGCAATCAGCTGGTTTTCCTTAGATAGAAAACTTTGAATCAATCTGACTGGATGATCTGGTGAACTGGAAAGTGACCTGAGATGACATGATGTGAATTGGAGCTATAGAAATAAACTGATTTGAATTAAGCATCAGACAAAAGTCCATTCATGTTGAATTCATTGATTTCTTATGCAAATTGTAAGTAGTTAAAATGTAATAATAATAATTGGTCTCACATTAGAAAAATGTAACTCTGCATTTAACCCCTCCCCTTGGGATCTGGAAACTGACCTGAGATGACATGATGTGAATTGAAGCTATAGAAATAAACCAAATTTAATTATATGATCTTTTTATGTATATGTGTATTCATGTGTCTATGTACAAATGTTTTTTTTGTTTTTGTTGTTTTAAATGTTCCTATTCTGGTATTGTTTGTTTTATTTTTAAATGGGTCTATGATTATCAGATTAAATGGGTAATGTAAATAAACTTGACTGCCTTGGAGGAACGGTGGGAGAACGTTGACAGGGTTGTTTTTGTCTCCACAGTTTGTTTATCTGGAAGCTCTGGTCACATCCCTGTCAGACATGTATCCATCCTTCTTTTTCACTGGTCATCGCCGTAAACTGCTCCTGTTGGCTATTTGCGTTATCTGCCTTCTGATCGGCCTCTTCATAGTCACAGAGGTAGAGATGTTTCGTTAATACATAAAAATATTTTATTATTATTAGAAGAAACATTTCTTACTCTGTTGTTTCTGCTACGGCGCACAGGGAGGACTTTACGTGTTTCTGCTCTTTGACTACTACGCTTGCAGCGGACTGCCAATGTTGTTTTTTGCCATTCTGGAATGCAGTTGTGTCGGATGGATAGTTGGTAAGCAAAATATATTAAAATCCCTAACATTAGAAGTCGTCATGGTCGAACAAAACCTCTTCCTTTCCAAATGTGTGTTTTTTTCATTTTTTAATAGTCTACTATGGAACAATTTAAACATTTTATAACTTTAATTTGAAAAGCCAAAGCTTTCCAGTAATCTATACGGAAGAGGATTAGGGCCACTGGAAAAAAAAAAAAAAGTTAACTGATTTTTTTTATTTTATTTCAGTATAGTAATCTCAGAATTCTGACTTTAATCTCAAAATTCTGACTTTTTTCTCAGAATTCCGACTTTAATCACAGAATTCTGACTTTTTTCTCAGAATTCTGACTTTAATCACAGAATTCTGACTTTTTTCTCAGAATTCTGACTTTATTCTCAGAATTCGGACTTTTTTTTAAAGTCCGAATTCTGAGAAAAAAAGTCAGAATTCTGACTTTAATCTCAGAATTCTGACTTTTTTCCCATGTTAAACTGAAATAAAATTTAAAAATCAGTTTACTTTTTTTCAGTGGCCCTAATCCTCTTCCGTAAATCTATATTCATTACTTTTGTAATTGTAATTGTTTTTTCTTACCTTTGTCCTGTCTGGAAATGTGGCAATAAGAATAATTGTCTTGATGCCGAAAAGAGTCCAACAGATTTTACTTTCACCAGTGGAGCAGTACGGCTATCGCCATAGTGTTCCGCTGGATTTATGCATATAAATAACTTTATTATAATTATGCAGGGAGTATTACAGATTATATGGACACTACAATGTAAGTAGAACAGGAAAGGAAAAACAGAAAAAAGGAGCAAAAGAGGAGATAAAAGGGAGATAATGATAAAATGTCTTCAGTCTGCTTCATCACCTGCAAAGAGATGGAAAAATAACAGCACAACCAACGGATATAGTATAAGAAATACAATAAAGTAACACTTTGATACTATCGCTGAAGTATAAGTAGTATTATTTAATCTGACATGTACTCTGTGTTACCTGAAGATATTATTGGCTAAGTACTCTAAGTTGTTTGTGAGAGTGCACTTGTGCATGTAAAGTTTATCCAAAGGAAAAATGCTCCATAGTGATTGTGAAGTAATTTTAATTCTAAACATGAATGCATTGCAGAGGCATTCAGCTTTGCAGCCTTAGTGAGGGCGATTTCTCTCAGGAAACAGTGAGTTCTTAAAGCTTAATACAGGTGCTGGTCATAAAATTAGAATATCATGAAAAAGTAGATTGATTTCAGTAATTCCATTTAAAAAGTGAAACTTGTATATTATATTCATACATTACATACAAACTCATATGTTTCAGATGTTTATTTTGTTTAATTTTGATGATTACAAATGACAACAAATGAAAATCTCAAATTCATCATATCAGAAAATTAGAATATTACTGAAGACCAATAAAAACAAAGGATTTATAGAAATGTTGGCCAACTGAAAAGTATGAACATGAAAAGTATGAGCATGTACAGCACTCAGTATTTAGTTGGGCCTCCTTTGGCCTGTATTACTGCAGCAATGCGGCGTGGCATGGAGTCGATCAGTCTGTGGCACTGCTCAGGTGTTATGATAGCCCAGGTTGCTCTAATAGTGGCTTTTAGCTCTTCTGAATTGTTGGGTCTGGTGTATTGCATCTTCTTCTTCACAATACCCCATAGATTTTCTATGGGGTTAAGGTCAGGAGAGTTTGCTGGCCAATTAAGAACAGGGATACCATGGTCCTTCAACCAGGTACTGGTAGCTTTGGCACTGTGTGCAGGTGCCAAGTCCTGTTGGAAAATGAAATCTGCATCTCCAAAAAGTTGGTCAGCTGCAGGAAGCATGAAGTGCTCTAAAACTTCCTGGTATGTGGCTGCGTTGACCCTGGACCTCAGAAAACACAATGGACCAACACCAGCAGATGACATGGCACCCCAAACCATCACTGACTGTGGAAACTTTACACTGGACTTCAAGCAACGTGGATGAAGTGCCTCTCTTCTTTTCCTCCAGACTCTGGGACCTTGATTTCCAAAGGAAATGCAAAATTTACTTTCATCAGAGAACATGACTTTGGACCACTCACCAGCAGTCCAGTCCTGTTTCTCTTTAGCCCAGGCAAGACGCTTCTGACGCTGTCTGTGGTTCAAGAGTGGCTTGACACAAGGAATGCGACAGCAGAAACCCATGTCTTTCATACGTCTGTGTGTGGTGGTTCTTGAAGCACTCACTCCAGCTGCAGTCCACTCTTTGTGAATCTCCACCACATTTTTGAATGGGTTTTGTTTCACAATCCTCTCCAGGGTGCGGTTATCTCTCTTGCTTGTACACTTTTTTCGACCACATCTTTTCCTTCCCTTCGCCTCTCTATTAATGTGCTTGGACACTGAGCTCTGTGAACAGCCAGCCTCTTTAGCGATGACCTTTTGTGTCTTGCCCTCCTTGTGCAAGGTGTCGATGGTCGTCTTTTGGACAACTGTCAAGTCAGCAGTCTTCCCCATGATTGTGTAGCCTATAGAACTAGACTGAAAGACCATTTAAAGGCTTTTGCAGGTGGTTTGAGTTAATTAGCTGATTAGAGTGTGGCACCAGGGGCCATCAATTTTGAACCTTTTCACAATATTCTAATTTTCTGATATGATGAATTTGAGATTTTCATTTGTTGTCATTTGTAATCATCAAAATTAAACAAAATAAACATCTGAAATATATGAGTTTGTATGTAATGTATGAATATAATATACAAGTTTCACTTTTTAAATGGAATTACTGAAATCAATCTACTTTTTCATGATATTCTAATTTTATGACCAGCACCTGTATTTTCCAGTGGAAAGTCCTAACTAAAATATATTACCAATTAGAAATACCAATTATTTCAAATTTTTGCAGAAGGAAAAAAAGAAAGGGAATTCTAGAAACCTCTGGATATGGGATTTAAATGACAGGTCCTGATCAAACATAACAACAAGATCTGAGATCAGTTTAATCCCATCCAAATGAAGTGACTGACTAATCAGCTTCTTTTTCAAAGACTCTGGTCCAAAGACTATAACTTCTGTTTTATCAGCATTTATGAGCAGAAATTTTAGAGTCATCCAGATTTTTATGGTATTAAAGTGGTGATAGAATGATTCTATAGGGTATCTGGTCCTTCAGGTCTCTGAATAGGGTGTGTAACATTGGTTGGGCTGAAAATGGCATATTAGCTGTTCTATGAGCCCTAATGCAGCCTGGTTAAAAGCCCTAGAATGAAAGGACAGGTTTTCTTCCTTTTATGGTATTTCAATCTGAAAAACTCACACAGAGAGAGAAAGATGCAATTAGAAGAGTTTTATTGATACAATAGTTTGAACTTTGGCGCTCAGGCCTCGGCAGGAAACATAAACGCTGATTTATACTTTAATGCAGATAAACTGATGTATGAGAATAAGGATATTTCCCCCGGGCCTGAAACTGGTGGTGGAGTTTAGATAGATGAAGTTTGGTTAATCCATAGAGGCTGGTATACAGGGTGATGCTTGAGTTAGATGTCACTGAATGAACAAAGTTTGCATAAACTGTCCATGAAGAGCAAGCATGAAGCGACTGTGGAGAGAAAAAACTTGCCTTTGGGAAGAAATCTCCGGCAGAACCAGGCTCAACATGGCGGTCTTCTGCCGGACCGTTTAAAGTGACGGGGAACTCCATGAAAGTCTGGAGGGAGTACGCACTGGAGGTGAGGTTGAACGAGCATCGAGGAGGAGTCGGATGAGCTTACTACAATGGAGGAGAAGGGGATGGAGGTGGGTTGTCTGAATCAAAGTTCGACATAGGATCGACGGATCTTGCGCTTGTTGAAGAGCAGGCCGAGAGATGATTAGGAGTGGCTTTTAAGGTGAGTGCTGGAAGACGATTGGGCATAGAGGAGATGTAGCTTGAAGCGGATTGGCTGCATCGGAGGCTCAGCCTCAGATTGAATGGAAGTAATCAGAGTTTCTTCAGTTAAATTTCCGCCTTAGCTTCATGATCATGAATATTTAGATGAGCTGTGCTCTGATTGGTTGGTTTACAACGAGCGAAGCTGCTGAGCAAAGATGCATCATAGCAACAAGCAGTCACTGAAACATCAGATTGTTGATATGGTAGGGTGACCAGACGTCCTCTTTTTCCCTGACTTGTCCTACTTTTCAGACCTAAAAAAATGTCCAGGGTAATTTCAAAATCGTCTGGGATTTTGGTCGAATAGAGTGCAGCTCGTAGTCGAAACACACCGGGCACCGGAACCCAGTGGGCTGGTCTGGATGTCAACTTCAGGCATGACAAAGGTACAGGCCAGAACGAAATAAGGCAGGCAACATCCCCAAGTTTACGTCAACTCTGTGCTTCGTTCAGAGTAAACTTCAAAGTTTAGAATTGTGAGATTTGCAGAGAAAGGAGGTGTTGATGGGGTTTGAACTTCTCTGTAGAAGTTTCACCCACTGAACTATCGTTATTTATCTATGACAATGGAAACTCCGTTTTGCATGCTATGACCCCTTTAAGACATGCTTGTAGTCTATTTAAAGGGTCAGTTGAGTATCAACAGCATAACAGTGGAAGTTGATACCATGGTGTCTGATAATTCCACCAATTATATTGTTATTATGTATTTGCATAGGATTATTTCATGAATTTAAAGATGTAGTAACCGAATTATGTAATGCTATTTTTGCACTTGGAAAAAATCTAATGTCCTATAAGGCGCTCAGACAAATTTCAATCTGTTTGGTAACCCTTTATATCATACTTTGTTGGCCTCCAAGAACTCCCACCAACATTTCAATATTTTGAAAGTTTCTATGGTTTTGATTAAATAATCTGAGCATACAGATGACGATTTATTGTTTCTTCTTAACACAACATCAAACAACGGGGGCGGGGGTCTTTTTGTTTTTTTCTATGTCTGGTTCTGTCTCCTTGAACCCCAGTGGGCCTCAGCAGATGGCCGCTCACACTGAGCCTGGTTCTGCTGGAGGTTTCTTCCTGTTCAAAGGGAGTTTTTCCTCTCCACTGTCGCTACAAGCATGCTTAGTTTGAGGGATTGCTGAAGAGTCAATGAGTCGATGCAATCAGCTGGTTTTCCTTAGATAGAAAACTTTGAATCAATCTGACTGGATGATCTGGTGAACTGGAAAGTGACCTGAGATGACATGATGTGAATTGGAGCTATAGAAATAAACTGATTTGAATTAAGCATCAGACAAAAGTCCATTCATGTTGAATTCATTGATTTCTTATGCAAATTGTAAGTAGTTAAAATGTAATAATAATAATTGGTCTCACATTAGAAAAATGTAACTCTGCATTTAACCCCTCCCCTTGGGGAGCAGTGGGCCTGGGGGTTAGGAGTCTTCAGAGACCCAGAGTGGCCCTCTCTGGGATTGGGTTTTCTCACAACCTTAGGGTTGCAAGTTCTATGCCCTAACCACTAGGCTGCCACTCCCTTAAAAAGATCAAAAAGCATAGACGCCTTTAAAGCAGCTCATTAAATGAAGGTCAAAGGTTCCTTGTTTTCTATTATATATTAATATTTGTTTAGCTGTGTCATAACATGTCCTCTTTTATCAGGGGCGTGCATACATAGACACTAGGTGGTGCTAAAGCACTAGGAAGTTTGCCCTTTATCAACGAAAATGCCCTTTTGAAACTCGTTTTTTTTCTTTTTATTATTAATATTATTAAGATTTTACTGAGGTCGGTTTTGAAATGATCTTTTGAAAACCTGAGCCGTTAAAAACGACTGAAACAATGCCCCGAAATGAGCCACCTCTCTTCCTTTGTCACGTGAACTCACTCCACAGGGAGATGAGCCAGATGAAAGAAGAAGAAAGATGAGCAAGCGTACTACTTTAAAGTAGTACGCTTTAGCCTGTTCTGTTGGTGATGTGACTTTTTTTCATTGAAAACTCACGTTTAGAGAATGTTACAAATAAAAGTCAAATTTCATTCAACATGCGTGTGTATTTTTGTTTTATAATTAAGTGTTCCACATGCGCTAAAAAGTGCCCCCCCCTCCTGAGCACCTGCCCCCCAAAATGTCTGTGCACGCCTCTGTCTTTTATCTATATCTGTTATTATACCTCTTGATGTGTTATGTTGAATCCCTGATCACCTTTTTCCATAAAGTGGAACACTAGCTGATGTTTATTAATGGTTCCACACAGATAAACCCATCTTTTTTTTTTTATTCCAAAACAAATGTTCTTCTGTCGTTAAGGTGCTGATCGTTATTATGGTAAAATTTCAGAGATGATTGGCTATCAGCCTTCGTCTTACATGAAATATTGCTGGAGGTTCGTCACACCATTCATCTGTGCTGTAAGTTCCTCCTCTCTGTTGGTTCAATGAGCTCCAAACTAAAACCTCACGTTATCCTCATGCATTCATGTCTCTTCTTTCCTTTTAACAGGGAATATTGATCTTCTCCGTGGTGAAGTTCAGACCTCTGACTTACAACAAAACATATGAATATCCTCCATGGGGTTATGCCATTGGCATATTTCTCGCTCTTTCTTCAGCCGCTTTTACTCCTCTCTATGGTTTGTATCGTGTGGCCATAACTCCTGGGACGATAAAACAGGTAGATATGAGACCAAAACAAAACGTAACTCTGTAATAAAGCTTTCTATCTACTTTTAAAGCAGAAATGCTCGGGCTCATTGTGGTGGTTGCAGGGTAATTATAAGTCTTTAACGGCACATACACTAAGATTTACTTAAAAATAAATAATTATTATAGAGGTGCACGACTTTACACGAGTGAATAAAGTGAATCTGATTGGTCGATTATCAAGAGGATTGTTGTGGTGGAAGGTTTGCGAGCATGTTTGATTGCAGCCGGTTTCTCTGAAGCATCTTGCTAACCAGTTAGCATATTAGTGCTAGTAGGTTCCCAATGGGAAATTCCATTGGGACCAAGTAGCACTAAATTGGTGACTTAGAAACGACGCTGTCAAGGAACGCTATGGACAGCGGAAACATGCAAGAGGAGGAGAGTTTAGTGTCGGAGGTCGTGGATGAGTCTCCTCCGTCATCCATTTTTTATTTAGAGGAGGAAAGCGGGAACGAAGATGTTGTGGAAGAGGACGCCAGGGCAGCAGAAGCTTGGTTTGGTGTAGAAGGCTTCCAGCCGTACATGTTTGAGCCCTTGCCTCGCAACGCTGCCAGTTCTGTTAGCTCTACGCCTGCTGAAGACACAGACGTCCATCCCCGTGAACACTGGGACGCAACTCAATGGGAAAGGAAAGGATTCTGATTTCAACCGTTGCGTATATTTAACCTGACTCCGCCAGATGGATTTGCTCCGCATATCCATCTGGAAACCTTCCGTTTAAGTAATTTTGGGAAGGGGCGAAAATACTGGTTAGCTGATTGGTCTATGTTGGTGATAGAGGGGCCAAATAAACCAATCAGATCAACGAAGCATATGACGTACTAACAGAGCGACGACGAAAAGTATTTCTTCACTGAAAGAAGAGTAAAACACTGCTCTGGAGGCTTTTCTCAGAGGAAAAGATCTTTTTGCTCTTCTCCCGACTGGTTTTGGCAAGAGTAGCCTGGCTTGTGGTTGTGTATTCGTTGTCGCTCTGTTAGTACGTCATATGCTTCGTTGATCTGATTGGTTTATTTGGCCCGTCTATCACCAACATAGGCCAATCAGCTAACCAGTATTTTCGCCCCTTCCCAAAATTACTTAAACGGAAGGTTTCCAGATGGATATGCGGAGCAAATCCATCTGGCGGAGTTAGGTTAGAGAGAACCTGTCCATGATGAGCAAGCATGAAGCGACAGTGGAAAGGAAAAACTCCCCGTTGGGAAGAAACCTCTGGCAGAACCAGGCTTAACATGGCAGTCTTCTGCCAGACGGGTTGAAATGAGACGCGGAACGCAGTAAGAGTCCGGGAGGAATGACACTCTGATGAAGCTTTAGCTACGACGATGGAGGGGGGTTGAAACGGGGTCATCTGCAGGGCCGGCGATTGCTATAGGCGAGATAGGCAATTGCCTAGGGCGACAAATGTGTTGGGGGCGCCCTCTAGCGTCGCCCTTAGGCTTACTTCCCATTAATCATAGAATTTGAAAAAAAAGCGAATTAAACCGGTTATGAAGCGTCCGTCAGTTTGACTTAACCTTACGTATATATAAATAGCAAAATATGAACAAATAAATATACCACCGTTTTTTATTTATTTTTTCACATTTAAGAGAAAATCGGAAAAGATTCTGATCACTTTTCAAGCGCCCTCCAACCCGGAAGTCGTGACGTCAGAACGGGAGCGTTCATGCCGGTCTACTGCACTAAATGCGATAGCCAAAACGAGAAATCAGAAAGCAAAATTTCGACTTCAACCGAGCGATTCCTACCAGGAGACCATTCTGATGTATCGGAGGAAGAATATTTGTGTCTGGAGCCTCACATGTTCGACCCAGATGTTTCAGATGAAGAGAAGGCAGCGGACGAACAACAGCGAGTCGGACAATGAGTGGAGATTGGACGTCAACAGGTGTTATGCCCAAAAGTGCATGCCTGCCGAAATATGCATCCCCAGTCGCGGGAGCGCGCCTCGCTCTGTTGAACTGCATATCGACGAGGAAAATGGATTAAAATATGTTCAATGGAGCTTAGGTTCTTATATTAATGATATAAAAACGTTTAAAAATACCTCTCGTGGGAAAAAAGTTGTGGTTATTTGGCAGATTAATTTACAAAAGTACGGATTTTTTGAACAACATTAAATCCAAAGATTTTGACCATGGTACGGCTGATTTATTTGTTGTGGTCTCTTGTTATTTACACACAACACTAAACCGTGATAGCCGATGTGAGTTTGGAGTTTGCAAAGCTTTCTCTTAAGTGGAAAATCAAACGCGCATCTACACAGCACAGCGTTCACAACATAGATATCCATAATAAAGGCTAGATGTCTTACGGCGGAGTCTCAAACGGCATCACCGGCGGCCATCTTACCTCAGGCAGGCTTTCTGTTGTGCTCTGTGGTACCTAATGTAAGGTGAGTGATCAGCACGAACACAAATACTCTTATCTCACTGAATTCTTGACGGATTTACAAACAGTTTGGTTTCTTACAAACATTATGAACGTGGCTATTATTCTTGATGCCTGAACATGTCGAAATTGCAGATTTTCTTGTCGAAAAATGACTTAATCGCGCAGCATAGTTGTGCATCACGGCTACTTGCGCAAGTTATCAAGGCTGAGATTATTAGTCAATTATATAGGTTTTACTGACACCAATAACAATTGTATGACAATTAATCTTTGGTGTAAATTACAATATTTGTGGATGTGGTTGTAGTTATTAGTTGGCTAATAACAATAATCTGAGTGTTGTTGTATTTTCATTATTAGCCTAACGTTAGCTGGCTAATAACAAGAAGCTGCGAAGTGAGACCTAACGTTAGTAAGTTAGCAGCTAACGTTACAGTTTAGCTAGCTGCTAACGTTAACCAGCAACTTTACATCAGTGGAAGAGGCAGAATTGAACATGATTTCCAATCGATTTGGTTTGTCAACACATCTTACATTATGTTACAGGAATTTGCTGGGTTTATTAAAAGGAAGATGCCAGATTTTTGCTATGACATAATAGTATTACAAGACTGTTGTTGACTCAAAGCTTTTATAAGTTTGTATTAGTTTCCTTTGGACAACTTAAAGATGGTGTTGTGCCAAACATTTTCAACTTTCCAGCTCATCTTCAAAGGGCATGTGTATCATTGAAATTTAATCACATATTGATATACCAATCTTATACACCGTGAATTGTTGTTGGTCACTTTTGTTTTTGTTTCTGCAGGTTATATAATGTGTAAGCAGGAGGAGAAGATCTTCCATCCCCGTTTGCTGACATTCCTGCGCTAGTACATGACCACAGCTACCTTCCTGTCCGCTTTGATGGCCTTGTGGACAACGCTCTCTTGTACATTATACAGAAGCTCAATAAAACCTTCCTTTTCAAAGGGCATTAGCCAAGCTATGTTTTTTAGGGGCATTTTTTAAATCTCTGTCTTCCATGTGTATACCATCACAGTAGTGTAGGTGGGGATTTCAACATGCTACATCTATATATACTTGTGAAGGGGACTATTGTACCAATTTTAATAGCAAATAAATGTCACTTTTATAATGGTTTAAAAATAGGAACTTTTGTGTAATTACCCCTGATATAATATATTAATCCGAATAGTCTACATGAAACTTCAAAGTGTTACCTTTAATTTGAAACCTGGATTATGCTGCTACACCAAGAGGTTGCCACACAATAAGCCTTTTTTGTCAGTATTTCATATTTTATTATAACAATAATATTCATATTATAAAAGTATGTATGTAAATATAAATAAATTAGGACTGTGAAATAATTAATCACACCCAAATAAAAGTGTTTATTTATATATATATATATATATATATATATATATATATATATATATATATATATATATACATATTTATATATATATATATAAATATGTATATATATATACATATTTATATATATACATATTTTTATATATATATATATATATATATATATACACATATTTATACATGTATAGATATCTATAGATATATCTATATATCATGTTGCCATTCAGTACACTGAGTTTTAATAGCATATATTGATTTAACATAAATACCTTGTGCATGTGTATATTTATTGCACCTGTATGTTCTATTCAATGTTCTTTTCATATGAAATTCCATGGTTATAATTATTCATAAGTGTGCAGTTTCATAACTACATGTCTGACTTTTGTTTAACAAACCAAACAGTTTGAGAATCGTTAGACAATTGAGGAAGTTATGGTTATTTAAGTACATGCGCCTTTAAAACACAATATTACGAATGAGCGAGCTGCCTGTGGCAAGATGGCCGCCACGTGCGGACGTCGACCCCCATTGGCCAGCAGCGCGGACGAGACATCTAGCCTTTATTATGGATATCTATGGTTCACAGACCAGTGAGATGCGTTCGCTGCGCGTCAGAAAGCTATGGTGCATTCAGGAGCATTGGAACATTTTAAACTTACAAGAATGAGGCATAAAACAGAACTGTATTTTACTGAACTGTATTGTATTTTTTTTTTTTTGTTTATGCATCTCACTGGTCTGTGAACGCTGTGCTGTGTAGATGCGCGTTTGATTTTCCACTTAAGAGAAAGCTTTGCAAACTCCAAACTCACATCGGCTATCACGGTTTAGTGTTGTGTGTAAATAACAAGAGACCACAACAAATAAATCAGCCATACCATGGTCAAAATCTTTGGATTTAATGTTGTTCAAAAAATCCGTACTTTTGTAAATTAATCTGCCAAATAACCACAAGCGCTCCCGCGACTGGGGATGCATATTTCGGCAGGCATGCACTTTTGGGCCTAACACCTGGAGATTAGATGAATGGTAGGACAAGTTTTTTCTTTTAACAGTTCAAACATTTTTTTTGTATGTTGACATCATTTTTTTCTCAGTATATATGCAGCAGAATTATGTGCTATATTATTAGCTTGAGAATGGGTAGAAGATACTAATATAAATAAAATATTTTGTAGTGATTATCTGCATTGAGTATTCAAAAGGGATGTACAAATAATCATCAAAATGGGCTTGCACTGATGAGCATCAACCAAGAGGTCTCAAATAAAATCTCCTTTGATGATACCATCAACGAATTTGCCATTAGGAAGTCCAGACGAGTCAAATTTTAATGCTGCATCAATTTTGAAGGTGAATAGAAATACCTGAAACAACTGATAGATAGAACTACAAGAACTTCAAACTTTTAATTTTGTAATGGTATTCATAAAAGCACTTTTGTTTGTAGAGGGTTAATCCTTTCTTTAATAACTAATCAATGTCAGAAATCAGGGTAAATATACCTGATATATTTTATTTAGAGGAAAATTTTGTTTATCTCATTTCTATTTATGTTCAAATGATTTAATTGAACTGGAACAGAAAATTTTATTTAATGTTTATCAATTACTTTTTTATGTAGTCCTTGGTTGAAGAATTTCTTAAATTTATTATTTTTTATTGTTATTTGGTAATTTCTGAAATTGATTTATTGAATATTTGTTTAATGTGTGTTAAATTTGTTAATTGTCTGAAATAAATTCATTCAATGATTCAATCCAGTTTTTTAGTTATACTTCACCTAAGTGTCCTTACAGATAGTTGAAAGTGTTTTTGCACAGTCCTAACTTTGAGTGTGTAATAAATTATTTAAAATAATAAAAAAGAAAAGGTACGGAAACCTATTCTGGTATTTGTCTATGCATCACTCCATGCTAAGTTACAGTTTTTTCTGAATGCTTAAACACAACCTTGATTCTTATAGCACAATTTCTAAAACTATTAATACTTATAGCAAATCCACTCACTGAGTTCACAAAACTAAAAGAACAAACACTGCTTTGCACTCAATTTGCAATTTTGTAACACACACTTTGCACAACTGTAGGCACAATTCACCGCACAGCACTCTTTGTGGAACTGTAAACACAACACAATGAAGCACTAAACAGATGCTGAAAACAGTGCTGGTATTTCGCACGGCAAAAGTGAGGGGGGGGCGGCGCAAAACTCAATCTCGCCTAGGGCAACCAAAGGGCTAGAACCGGCCCTGGTCATCTGAATGAAGTCACAGCGCATCCACCGCCTGCGCACAGGAGCAGACGATTTGCGTATCGGAGGCCTTTTAAGATGAACTTTGGATGCTGGTTGGCTGTGGTTGAAAGCTGATTGGTTGTATCGTAGGCGGACGAAGGCGAGTTATCAGTTTATTTAGTTGAACTTCAGCCTAGTCTCCATTTAAACAAAAAAAGCATGTAAAATATAGCATTAATAGTAAATGTGCATTATGTTGTACTGCATTAGAATTTATATTAAAAAAAAAAGCTAAGGTTGGTATGACTTGTAATCCACAAATAGACAGTATTTCATATTTACCACATCCAACACAGATCTGGTCACTACTCAAATATGCGATAAAAATCTTATAAACCTACACACTGAAACAGCACAATTTCAACATTTTAACCAGTCGTCCAGATTAGATTTTAAAGGCACTTTCTGTGTATTGTTTTTTTTCTGGCAGAGATTGAAAACGTTGTGCTCCCCAGCAGCTGGGTTTCTGAGTCCAACCGCTGAACAGAACCACCAGCCTGAAACGACTCCTCTAAAGGATCTAAGCAAGTCCGAAAATCCTTGATGTTCCAGCTTAAAGGTTTATACTCAGGCTTCTATGGAGTGAATTTTGTTCCATTATTTTTGCAAGCAAAGAAAACGTTTTGTAAATGGAACAGTGAAAAAAATGTAATCGACAAATTAAACTGAAGAACTGCTTAAGCCCAAACACTGTATGATTTTTACAATCGTTGCACGCAGCTGCAGCTCAGACTATAAAACGAAACCGCAGGGTTTGAAAGTTCCTGCACACTACATAATGCACAATCAAAAGTCGGCCCGATCGAAAAATTCTCGCACGACTGGAGAATCGGCCAGAAAAAAGCAAAAAAAAAAACTCGTACAGTGTACGCCCAGCTTTAATGAAAATGGGTTTTAGAGCAGCTTTAACATTTTCTCTAATCCTTTTTTTTTATTGTGTTTTCTTATTTTATCTTGGCAGGCTTTTCTTTAGAGAGAGGAGTGAAGGCTGGTTTACGTTGGTCTGCAATACAATACAATTTGAAAAAAAAATGCACTTTTTTCAATTTTTGTTCTATTTTTGTTAATTGTTTTTGTAAATTGTATCAAAATTTTCAGTCTGAAATACAGATTTTCTAACAAATAAGATTAAAAAATGTAAAATCTGTACAGGTTTCTGAAAAGATAAAATTTGAATCAGTAAAATGTAAAAATGTGTATATGGGGGAAAATATGAAATCATCGTTAACCAATCTGACTGGGTGATCTGGGTGAATCTGTGTCTCTCTGAAGTTCATTGAGAAGACATTTGTTATAAATTGTCGCTATATAAATAAACTGAGATGAACTGAATTTCTGGAAGTTTTTAATTTTTTTATTTCCCATAACATGTGCTTTGCTTGGAACAACAATGGAACAAAATTCACAACATATTCTACTCTTCTGCTAGCGATTGTAAATGATCAATACACATACATACTGTTAAATGGATTAAAAATGACAATTAATTGACATATTTAAAGTGAGTCAGGGACATATTTCGAGAAATAAAGAGATTTTTTTATCACAGTCAAGATGTCGGGATGCCAAAAGCACATCCACATTGAAAGTTGGTCTTTCTCATGTAAATATTTTTATTTCTTAATCCAGCCCCAGAAGTTAGACCTCTTCGGAAAAAATATTTTCATGATTTTTATAGCAGACTGAACGACTTCTCATTCTTTGGAACCGGCCAATTCACAAATCATAATCATTTTGTTCTCAGACGATGCTTATGCCGGCCCCAAAGGCACCCAAGTTACAACCGTCTAGTAACAAAAAACTGTTTAGGGGGGTAGGGCAGAGAATTTTGCTATAACTTCTAAAAAGATTCTATTCAGTTTATTTCTATAGCGCCAATTCACATCATGTCATTTTAAGGCGCTTTCCAGTTCACCAGATCATCCAGTCAGATTGATTCAAAGTTTTCTATCTAAGGAAAACCAGCTGATTGCATCGACTCATTGACTGTTCAGCAATCCCTCACACTAAGCATGCTTGTAGCGACAGTGGAGAGGAAAAACTCCCTTTGAACAGGAAGAAACCTCCAGCAGAACCAGGCTCAGTGTGAGCGGCCATCTGCTGAGGCCCACTGGGGTTCAAGGAGACAGAAGCAGACATAGAAAAAGAAGCATAGATACAAAAGGCAACTGTCAACCAGCTCCACAGGCGGCCCCGTCCAGGAAACACACAGCCAGGCAGACGAGCTCCGAGCCAGCTCCCATGTCAGAGGATGAAGAGAGCACATCCAGTTAGTCACAGTCAGAGAAACAGGACTACACTGGAAAACAGGCCAAGCTCCAACATCTAGAAACAAAGGTGTTGATGGCAGCAGCACAGCTGATATTTCTCTCCAGGATGGAGTCACAGCCAAACAGGAACAGACCAGATGAAGCTACTATGAGAAAAAGCAGAGAGAGCAGAACGTTAGAGATTGAACTAACAGATTCTGCAGAGTGGGAGAATAGAGATAGAATGAAGCAGAATGATGAAAAAGGGGTCCCTATGTCCTCCAGCAGTCTAAGCCTATAGCAGCAGAACTATAGAGATAGCTCAGGATAACCTGAGCCACTCTAACTAGAAGCTTTATCAAAAAGGAAAGCCTTAAAAGTAGACTAACACTGGTAGTTGAGAGGGTAGGAATTTTGCTATAACTTCTAAAAAATTATTCTTTTTAGAAGTTATAGCAAACTTCTCTACCCTACCACCTGAAAATATGACGTTTTTTTGTTATCTAGATGGTTATAACTTGAGGGCCTTTGGGGCAGGCATAAGCATTGCCTGAGAACAAAATTATTGGGATTTTTGACTTTGTCTGCTATGAAAATCAAAAACTGTTATTTTTTAAAGAGGTCTACCCACTGATACATCCTAATTTTCTATAATCTTTTAAATCTTTTGAATGCATATGTTATATTACAAAGTGTGGAAATTTTGTTCAATTCTGTACCTTTATCAACTTATTCTTGATTGGGTTTAATTATTAAACTTTCCATGTTCCCTGAGAGTTTCCCCAACACAAAGATGGCTGCCAAGACCCAGGGCGCCTGAACAAGTCCTCGTTTGAAGTCTAATGTGTTTGGTTTTCCTTTCTTGCTGTAGTTTAGTTTAGAACCGTAACTGTACAGTGTTGTTTATTGAGGATTTTTGTTGTTTTGTGTGGTTAACCCTGTAGTGTTATGATCAGCCAGTGTGTATATATATATGTCTGTCCGTCTGTCAGTTCTTTTTTTTTAAATGCATTCATTCAGTTTGTTTAATTATTTTTAACTAATTAGTTCAATACTGTGTCTTTGATATATGTTATATGAGCTCAATTTTTGTTTTTTAAATTAAGCTTCTTGGATTACAGTAAAAATCCTGTTTTTCTGATAAAACGGGTGACTCCTCACGCCTTCTGACTCAGTCCCTCACAGATGACCTTGATTTATTATATCTAATCAAAAACTGTTCATTGTTTACTAAAGGCTTTATTTCTAAGGATTTAAGAAAATAAAAAAAAACCTACAGAAATCTTAGCATTTACCTTCAGTACCTCCTGCTCCATCTTCTATCCCTTCACCTTTCATGGAATCATCAATAAGAAAGAAGCTCTAGACTGCTGTGTTGAAACCAGACGGCCTTCAGCCTTACAGACATCATTAAACAATAGAAACACGTGATTTGCTCTTATCAAATTGGGAAAACAACTTTCAGGAAAAGAACTAAACAAAGAAAAATTTACTGTACACAAAAATAACAACTATGGATTTTTGAAAACGCCGATAATGTTATACAATCATTTAGGACTAAATATGATCTACTGGAACCTCTAATGTTTACATTTGGGGAAAGATTAAAGATTAACTTTAAATTTACTTTTTGCAATATAAGAAAAGGAAATATATAAAGGAAATACAATATTTCATTTCTTAAAATTCAGTAAGATTACTTATTAGTCTGTTAGATTTGCAAAATCTTTCATTATTTGGGTATCAAGTTGATCGCGCTGCAGCTTTATCTTGTCCACTAGAGGGAGCCAGAGATCATATATCTGATTCCTGAATCAGCCGCGCAGCTTTCAGCAGATCTGAGGAGGCATTTTTATTTTTATATCAGCTTTTAGAAGGGGACTTAAAATAAATGGACGATACAAGTGCGTTTGAACGTGTTTAATAAAAACAAAACGGAATTTTCAATAATACTTTACTAAATAATACATTTTAAAGAGAGAGAGAAAAAAAATGGTGGGAAAGTTTTAGGAAAGTTGCAATTTTTAATAGTGAAAAAAGCTTGGAATGTAGAAAAAAAAGGTAAGAATTTGTCTTAATGTTGAATCTGCTTTGATTTCTAGTGAATACATTTGAAAACTTGGATCATTTGATTGAACATGTTTGGTTTGACTGAACGGTAAATTGTAAATTTATTCACTTTAATAATTAAGCTTTGATTCAAAGCTATAGCCTTTTATTTCTTTTGTAAAAACATACTTCAATGCCTTATAGAATTCAACACAGATGGTGGGGGGTTTACCATTAGGCAACACAAGGCAGTTGCCTAGGGCCCCAAGTTCCTGGGGGCCCCATAAAACTCTGTTTACATGTATAGTTACTACAACTACTCCTTATTTGTGCACATTAATTATGTTTTTTTGTTGATTTTTTTTAAGGCACTAGTGGCTCATTTTCTTCGACAGGAGTCTGACAGGTAAGAGAGGGGGGGGGGGGGGGGGGGGGGTGTGGGAAAGGACCACAGGCCAGATTCAAACCTGAATCGGCCGCGTCGAGGACTAAGGCCTTCGCACATAGGTCATTCACTCTAACCACTGCGCCATCTGCACGCCCATTAATTATATATTTGATAAAAATCCTTTCACTAAAATGCCATCAGAACGCTGATAATATTAAGTGTGTCTCTGCCTATTTTCAGAAAGGTCCAATCAGACAGCAGCAAACCATTTGAAAACAAACCATGCAAAGAGCAGTGTTGCCAACTTAGCGCTTTATGCTACGTTCACAACCGGACGCAGCAGGAGCAGCAAAATGGCGTCTGCTGCTTCATTTTTGCTGCTTGTACCAGTTAGTTCTGACGCGCGGCTGAAGCAGCTTTGCTGCTCTGGCTGCGCGGTGCAAAAGTGTGTCTGACGCGCGTTGGGCGGAGCTTCACTATCCTTTCTCTGCCTTGCAGCTATATTTGCTGTGATCAGTGGGAATAAAGTAGTTTTAATGTTTTAAAGTGAGAAAATACACCTGAAAACTTAATCAGTGCAGTCAGTTCATCCAGATTACCATCCTGCCTTCCAATATTATTTCAGTCTGAGCCGCTCAGACCCCAACATACCAGCGGTGCGCCGACAGTAGGAATCCCTTCATCAGCAGCCTCTGGCCGGGTCGCCTCCTCGCGGTTCACCGCGGCAGCTGGTAGGTGTTTTTCATCTAAATAATCTAAACTGCAGGCAGCAGAATAATAAAAGCCAACATATTCTGCCGGCAGGTTTCTGCATTTTAAGTTAATTTAGGCGTCAATAAACTGTTTCAGAGGAGTGATCACAGCGCTCTGATCATCAGCGCTTTGTCTCTCTCCCTGCCAGCTTCCAGATCAGCTTCTCTGATTGGTTGATGCGGCACGTCCAGCAGCAAAAGTTAAATTTTTCATCTCGAGCAGCAGCGCGTTTGCGGTGCGTCACGCGCGTCAGATACTTAAACGCTCCGACGCGCTGCTTCAGCTGCT